TCGGAAGCCACCCTTAGCCATGCTGAGGGGTGACCGCCGCCACCAGTGTCCTCCCCTTCCCAAATTGAAGCTCTGCCCTGGGGACATGGACGCCCCACCCGGCCCCACCATTCTGCCCGGGACTCCACGATCTCTCGCCTCTCTAAGAAGGGTGCCACCCGGGACACTCGGACATGCCGGAGGGCACCCCAGGCGTGGGACACCGGCCGTCTCGGGTGGCTGTGAACTCCGTATTTGGGATGGTCTAACCAACAGGCACAGCACCCTCACTGCTCCAGCAGACTCGGGGCTGACCTGGGAGGGAGAGCAGGCTCCCGCTCCCACCTGTCAGAGCTGCAACTTGGAGGGATCACCCTGGGGTCTCCGAGGACTGTCTCCTACAGTTGCTGCCTGAGCTGGCCCACCACCCTCTGGGCTGGAGGCTGACACAGGGCCCTCTGGGTCACCCGAGAGCCCAGCCCAGCGATGACAAGGGTGGACCCAGTGTAACTGAAACAGGCCAGGGGTGCCCACAGAGGGTCTCCGGGAACACGCAGGTGAGGCCACAGGGAGTGCAGGTCACAGCTGCTAAGGGTAGACATGAAATCCAGTCGGGTGTGGGCCTGCACCCACTGGCTGCTGGTGGCCCTGGAAAAGTAGGTTGAGCCCCCAAAGGGCAAGCCAGCCACCCCGCTGTGCCCAGAGAAGCTGGGTGCTCGGGACTGGCGAGGTGGGCCAGTGCAGCCATAGCAAGGTCTACCCCGCAGGAGGGGGAGACGGCCAGCGTGCTCCGGGACCCAGGTGGAGTAAACCCACATGGCGCGGTGCAGAGGCAGTGAGTGCCCACGCCACAGCACGGATGAGCACGGGGCACAGATTGCGGAAGCCAAGCACAGCCCGGAGCTGCCCTTCCCATGTACAAAAAATCTCCAGGGGGCAGGCCCAGGGGTAGAGCAGGGGGCAGAGCAAAGGGCAGGTCAAGGAGCAGGTCAGGGGGCAGAGCAGGGGGCAGAGCAGGGGGCAGGTCAGGGGGCAGGTCAGGAGGCAGGTCAGGGGACAGGTCAGGGGAGCCAGGTGTGGGGAGGGAGGTGGGCAAGGCTGCTGGGGGCAGGCAGGCTGCTGGGGGCGTGAAGGTTGTAAAGCCCAGTCTCCTGGTGACCGCACCCCTGTGGGAGTACTGGGCTGACCTTTCAGGGTGAGGGGCGGGGTCTGGTCGGCAGCACTCCAGTCCCTCCCCAGGCCCCAGCCCTCCTGCAGCACTGGCTTTCCCCGGCCCCCAGGCCTTCACACGGTCACTCACACATGCTGGCACGTGTTTCTTCACGTGTTTCTTTCTCCATCACCTCCTCAAATTCATCCGTGGGGACTCTGGCACACGGGAGCACATGCCCAGCGTGTTCTTCAAGCCACTGTTGAGGGCTCCAGCCGTGGTCAGCCATGTGGGACCCTGCTCCCTTAACCACTGGGCTGAAGGGCCACCCCCCAGGCCAAGTGTTTGCTTGCCAGAACAAGTTCGGTTTCGAGGGCCCGAACCGCTCCGGCTAACCCAAGGGGAAAATGGGTGCTCGCCCACAGAGAGGGGGTTGCCAGCTGCCAGGCTCCCTGGGCAAGTTCTCCTGTGGGTGCAGGTGCCCGGGGGCAGGCTGGGGTGGGGCAGGGCGTCCTCCATCAGGCCAGGCACAGAACCGGTCCGGCGGGCTTTCCGGAAAGCTCCAAGTCTTATCCTTCCTGCCCCTCCCCAGGCCGGTCTGCTCGCCTCCTCCCAGTGTCCAGCCCTGCTGGGGCAGGGGGCTGCAGTTCTTGCCCACGCAGCAACTCCCGGGTCCGGTGTTTCTGTCATCCATGCACGAGGACTGACTGAGGGCAGAGACAGGCCCGGGGCCAAGGCCAGTGGCCACCACACGCATCCCACTGTGGCTCTCGCCCGGGGCCGGATGACTCAGAGCCTTGCAGGCTCAGGCCTGGGCCTTCCTGACTGAGCTGCACACAGGCAGGGCCTGCAGTCTGCCCCGCCGCAGCGTGCACACTGTATACTGGCTGGGTGGAGGCCAGCCAGGCACACTGCTGCCCCCGAGGGCTGTGAGGTCTCAGTGCCCAGGACGAGTTGTCAGGATGCCCTGCGTGCTCAGTTTACCTGGGAGGCGGAGGAAGAGTGCCCGATGCCATTGTCGGAGACGAAGCCCACTGTTGTCACTGGGTCTGCACAATCACAGTGTGGACAGAAGTCCCACTGCTTTTTCCTATTCCTCCAAAGTCCTTTCCAGGGGGTCTGGGGGGGTCACTCTCACAAACATTAACAGATCATTTTTCCCATTTACCAGGATTCTTCCTGCAGTCCTGTCCCTGGCATAGTATCTTTGAGATGTATATTCAACTGATTACAGTATATTTTTTTGCTAACCTCTTCCCAGGGCACAGAACTTCCCTTTCCTTGAGATGTAGATTAAGCATCTCTTTACAGATCTCTTCCCAGGACACAGATCAAATCTTCCCTTCCAATCACCAACCTAGGAAATGTGGAGCCCAACTATAACCTACAAGCCCCGGCTTCCACATTTCCGCCTCTTTGGGCCAGACCAATGGAAATCTCTTCACTGATTTTGTCTGTCACTGTCAAAATAAAATAAAAGGAACCCCTGTACGAATCACCCCTAGAAAAGCATGTATGCCTCCTCTCTGGGCCTAGGTCACTCATATTCTGCTTGGAAATAAACCGCATTAATTATTGATGATGAACTTTTACAGTTGGTTGTTTTCCATCGACAATCGGATGAGGCACTTTACAACGTGGGTGTGGTGGCCGGCCGGCCGGGGAGGAGCGCCAGCAAGGCGGGACACCCTGAGCCAACAGGAAGATGCGCACTTTTCAAGCTGCTGGGCCCAGAACTGGAACTGTGGAGTTCTCCCTAACTGCTGCACCACTGGCGGCCCCAGGAACACATATTGCACAGAAGTAGAGTACAGCCTGCTTGTAAGGTATTGTCAGTATGTTACACAGTTGCCTTATGTTTAATTTTCAAAGAAATTTCTATAGACTTCCTTCACACTTCTGACAATGATCAGTAAGTAACAAAGACACAAGTACACATCTCCCCACCCCGTGTTTCCAGCACACACGCACCGGAACACACGTGTCTGCTGTGTTCTTCAAGCAACTGGGGCTGGGATTGTGGGTTCCAGCTCCATACGACAGTGCTAACCTGTGCTAACCTGTGCTTCTGTGCTAACCTGTGCTCCTGTGCTAACCTGTGCTCCTGTGCTAACCTGTGCTAACCTGTGCTAACCTGTGCTCCTGTGCTAACCTGTGCTAACCTGGGCTAACCTGTGC